GGTCAGTCCGATGACGTCGTACTTGATCTTCCTGGCTTGCAACATCAGATCTTCGATGTGAGCTTCCGATGCAAGCGTCCGTGCGTTGAAAGTACAGATCGTCATCCTAGTCCTGGGCGACTTAAATCTCCGTTGGCCCTGTGATTCTTGCAGCCTCGCCCGAGCGGTCCCAGCCGACGCGCCTGTCGGTGGTTCCCTCAGGTTCAGGGGAATGAGGCCCATAATTATTACTGTTTTCGGCGAGAAGAAATTTAACCACGCGTAGCTCGCCAGGCTCTGACGTGGCACCCTCCGCATTGGTACGGTGTTGGAACAGTCCAACGTTCAGCCCCACGCCACGTTGAGGCTGCGGATAGGATTTATCCTTTATAGCTACAGGAATCGAAATCCGTTGAGGCGTCCCGATCTGACCACCATTATGCACAGATGGATCAGAACAGCTGTGAAATGCGCAGAAATATTCAACTGACAACCGACTGCTCCAAATCCCTCAAATCTACTAGACCGCTGAGTCTGCATTCCCTGAAGATGACCTATAAGCCCAGGCAGGTGCAGTAAAAACGTCAAAGGTTTAGCCAGTATGAAAATATTTCTATTATTAAGGTCAGAAGTGACGAACTAAACCACGGTCTAAGGGGGAGGCGCAGCGCAGTGATCGACTGTCCCCCGCCCATTTCTTCGCCCACAAGATTAGAGTGGGCCAATACCTTCGATCAAAGGGTTCGGCTTGTGTGACAGAAGTGTCAGAGCATGGTTGTCCGTTTGAATACGAAAAAAGGGAACAACACAAAACTTTCAAAAAACTAGAAACGAAGCACCTTGCAAACGATTCCGAGAGTAGATTAACCTTTGCTTCGGTTTGAACGAAGATTCGTCGATATTTCTCCAGCTGTTCAGTGAGCACCTTCAAAAAATTTGGACGTATGTTAGTGAAGAGAACGAGAAAAACTGCTGCAAAAGACTCAGCCCAACACGGATGACTCGCCTCTTGTTTTGTTCGTTCTCCAGCACATATCGCTTGCAACTGACGCTCCAGATCTGCTCTCATTTGTGGTTTACTCATGGCATACCCTAAAATACGACCCAGACATTTTATCGTGTCTATTTCGGTTCTAGATAGTCAGATAACAGTCAGTATCTGTGTATTTCTCATAGGAGCGTTCGCCCCCTTTGATGCGGATGGGAGCGGGGCGTTTCTATGCACAGAATACCACAATTTTTGGGGGTCCCTTTTCCCCCAAATGGGAATTGTCAACAAGGGAATGGTTTGAACTTCCCATGGAACTTTGAATGGAGACCTAGGTACATCGATGGAGCCTCGAATGCTGATTACGAAATGCAGATTAAAAGTGCTACCGGCGACTCGCAGACGAGATCCTGGTGTGCATAGTTGGTCTCGCTTTCAAGTCAAACGCATGCGGTTTGCATCCGGTTGGCGCGAAAATTTTTGCTTCGCTCCGTATAAGAGCTTCAACTCTAATTTTCGAAATTCTTCCGAATTACGGCCCAGCAGGGCAAGTAGATCAAGTACATCAAGTATACGACGTACTCGATCTAGTATGGATTTGGTCATATCTGCCCTCTCTGAACATATTACCCATCCGACAATTCAAAGTTTTAGCGAGAAATTCGTTCATGGGAGATTTCGACCCCCTGAACACGAATATCACATCCTTCGACGAAAAAACGCTCGTCTGGCCAAATTGCGATTCTGGGCAAAACTTTGAATTGTCGGATGGGTAATATGTTCAGAGAGGGCAGATATGACCAAATCCATACTAGATCGAGTACGTCGTATACTTGATGTACTTGATCTACTTGCCCTGCTGGGTAAATTCGGAAGAATTTCGAAAATTAGAGTTGAAGCTCTTACACGGAGCGCGAAGCTAAACCCATTCCGCCGGGGCGCGCGTGCAACGAGCGGGAGGGATGCGGCACGACTGGGGAGGTGAGGGGGTGAGGATGAATACAGGCAGTATGGATGAGGGGAGGAGACAGGGGGGCTGGTGGTATAGGACGAGTGAAGCGAGAAGGCGTTGAGAGTGTTGAAAGCGCGGGAGACACACGTAGTTGAGTGACCGCGGGCAAGGGGGGAGGGGACAGGTACTGGCAGAGTCTGAGTCGGTGGGAGTGTGTGTCCGGAACGGGGAGGTGGAGCGAGGCTGGGAGGGAGGGCCGTGCACGGAGTTGGCGGGGTGGGCGCGAACTCGATCGAGGAGGCAGGCGCTTATAAAGCCAGAACCCAAACTTTGACCACCCAGATCTCGTCTGGAGGTCCCCGTAGCACTTTTAATCTGCATATTCGTAATCAGCATTCGAGGCTCTATCGATGTACCTAGGTCTCCATTCAAAGTTCCATGGGAAGTTCAAACCATTCCCTTGTTTAGTGCGATCAGTGCGGCCTGTGCCTAATCCTATACTGATCCGACAGCAAAAATACTGCGATGTGGTGAACAGCGGTTGTTTTTCTTAGAACAATGGTGTCGAGGGTACAGAAGTTGTTTGGCGCAGAGCTTATCCTACACAGGACTATCAGTCGTATATAAGAGCAGGGGACGATGGGAAGAAGTATGGGCAACGAAGCGATAAATTACGCAACGCATTCGATCCCAATCACAGTTGAGGACTGACCTGACAGCGCATACGGTTCATGGCCTACTGTTGCACCTATGGAGACTATCCAGCAGTTAGATAATGTTTGAGCATCCCAAATGCGCCCACTGACGAGACGGACCTCATAGGGTAGGGAGGTCCAGGCAAATTTCAGGCTAATCATACGTACTAGGGCAGAGCACTCGTCTCACCACCAATTATATTATAAGTGTACCAATGACGAAAACAGGACTGTTCTCTGTCTCCGCCTTCCCGGTCATCGCGGAATGTACCTCTGATCTGGGCGAAACTCAACTGACAACAGTTTCAGTCCATTCTCAGACTGAATTCGTCGCTATCAAGAACAGCTCAGAATAAGAGGTCTCAATCACTGTTCCACGTGTCTCACCCCTCCAGATTACCTCCGCCACCTATGATAAAGTCCCCCGAGAGGAACAGTCCCTTTATTTAGTATGCTGATGATAGCTCAATTTGCATATTTTTCAAACAAACCCGTAGCGTCATAACCATCGACAAGAGCGAGACCGAGAAATCCAGGAAGGAAACGTCCATCTTCACGAACACCCACATACTGTCTTGTCTAAAAAGTAAAAGTGTAAAGAGTCTCAGATCAGATGCCCAAACTGTTTTTATACAAGGAGAAATAGCGTCATACTACACCTTAATCTTCTCTATATGTTCAGCATGCGTCGCGTCTGTACCGATACCGTACTTGTCCATGAGAGCAATCAAATCGGCTGCAAAGAAATAGCCTGTATCGAACGGTAAAATCATAATGCTACTGAAGTCCGGGGGAGAGCAGGCGGCAAAGTTAAACTTCCCTCGCAAGACACTCTCTATGGCTGACTCTGTTGAAGGAAGTGATCATTGTCTGGGAAGGAGGACGCAGACGAACAGGCTCATTACTGGCGTTGCGTGGTCCCTCCTCCTGACTCCAGTAGCTCTTAGCCTTCAGATGGGGAAGTAATGACGACCTTCGTTGAGTAATTCAGGTGGTTGCGTTTGTCCATCTGCTATACGAAGACGATAATCAATGAGTGTTTCTCCTTCCAGGTATGTTGGAATCACTTTATTGCTCCATTTGTCATAGATATACACTCGTAATAGATATACACTCGTAAGTAGCCTGAAAAAATAATACTGAGGAACTGGAATTGTAGGTGGAGATAAAAGATTTTTGCCCAAAGCTAAGACCGCACTCATAGTCCGCGACATCGGCGTAATGCCAGAAAGGGAGAATGTGCGCCGTATGAACATATGAGAATTAACAGATCCTCCCATTTTCGAACTCCAGTGCTGCAAATTATGAACGCGCCCTAAGTAAAAAAGGCTCCGCATCCGAAAATTAATTTGTGAAAAGAAAACATTTTTTTTGTATTTTGCACGGCCAGTTCTTCAAACGTTCTGCCCCTAAGTCGAGTTGAGCCAAAGTTTGCGAAAAATTACCTAGGTCCTGAACACAGAGGCCAGTGGCGTGAAACGTCTCTCCTCCAATTCTCATCTTCAAATAACAAATGTAATTTCAGAAAAAAAATGCAAACGACAATAAGTAAGCATTACCGTACCCGAACTCGTGTCTCTCGACCCTTAGCATCCCATGAGACACACGCCAAGAAGTGACGTACAATTAACTCGTACACTCGCCAATCGTTTCCTTGTAGTGTGCCGCTAGAGAAAGAAATAAATCCTTGATTATTTGCTGATGAAAAGTAAAACATACTCTGGAACATGTTTCAGAGGATGAATGGGTGGATGAGCTTCGTCGGATTTTGTACCATTTCTGGGGTTTGGACCATGTTCGAGCACCTACGAAGAATGTATTTACAAAGTTCAATGCATATGAAGGCAAAAATCCATGTCCCTGATGGTGAGGGCGGAGACAAGCAACCACTACGACCTCCTTACTGCCCTTAGGCACAGAGGGAGGAAGTCCGTATAGTTTAGTTCCTCTCCGACTGCATCATTGAAAAGAGAGCCCAGTGAGGAAAGCACAGAGGCTGGCCGTGTCAGCCCAGACGACCTTCGTGGACTATGCTGGGAAGACAAACACAAACCTCAGCTGCAAAATCACCCCATTTGGGAGAAGTCGTCAGCTGTCCTACCAAAGATGACAGATTCATATTCGAAGGGAATTTGTTGGTTTCTGTCCTGAAAAATATACTATTGCTAGGTCCTCTTTGTCAGCAATCATTCACATTTGGATCTGCATCCAACGCAAGATTCCAAAACATTTCGACTCATATAAAAACAAGGCAAAAAGGACCCAGCGACACAGGAATCGGTTAGACTGTATAAGCTTGTAGCGAAGTCTAGCCTAGCCGCTACTCAAGATTTTATGAAGGCAAGAAACACAGAAATTCTTGTAGACTTGGTAAAAAAGATGGAAAGGGAAGGACGAGGGGTAGACGAAGCAATGCGACTAACAAAGGAACTCCAACAGGTCGATCCGGCCATTTGCAATGGGATGTACATATATGGACGTGTCTTGAGCCGCTGAATCCAAATCTGCCCTCGGAATTTGCGGAACGATTCTCTGGAGGGAGTTACGGACAACTTAAAGACAGCCCCCGCGATCAAAGTGGCTCGTGGTCGCCTTTGCTGTGCAAGTAGTCTAGCCTCCAAGCTAGAAGACTGTTCACCTTTCGCGACTCTATTGTGAGCGTGGAGGCTGCTATAGCCGCTCAAAGTGCTAGTTCTAACTCCTCCTCAGTCGGACCGCCTTTACTTGCTAGATGTCCTCCGACGGAAGGCCACTCACTTGTTC